CCTGGAGGAAACAGAAGCCAGTCTCATAATTTTTGAGCTACTGAAGGTAACCTACCTTCAGAATGTTTCTGATGTGAGAAAAACAGGCATCTCCTATTTGTGAAATCACTGTTGGTTGCAATAGAATACAATCCTAAATTTATACTTGGTAACCTTACATCTGTAGGCCTAACCATTTTAACGCACGACATTAACTCTTCATTTTTCTAGTTTTGTAACATCTAATTGATAAACAGGCGTTTACTTATACTTAGTAAGCTTTGCTTTAACAAGCTCAATGGATAAAAAGTTTAAAACTACAAAGTAATAACCTCCAGAGGTATATCTCTAGTATGCCAACTGACAATTATGGATTAATCTATTTTTGAGAAACATGCTGTTTCTAATATTCTACATACAGTATACAGTGTCTACAAAAATGATGTGTATTCACTGGTTGTTTCATTTTTCCCCAATTTTAATATTTAACATCCACAGATTAATTTATCTGAGATCAGGACACCGTATACACAATATAACTTTGTACTAGTCAAAAAAGAGGGAAAAAAGTTTGAAGTTGTAGTGACTTTTTCTAGACGTTGTCCTCTGTGTATAGAAGGTCTTAAACCTTTCTAAATGTCCAGGATGTTTTAGAACAAGGCAGTCTATAGCTCTGCCAGGGTTCTTTGACACAGCAGTCTCTCCTTTTTTTGAGGTACATACTGTTTTCTTATGCTGTTTTCTTATGCCAACCCTACTCGTATCCCAGACTATATTGTTATATTGTAAAATACCTTTTCTACCTCTTAGCCTAAGCATGTGTTATTCAACTTCATGATTGCTTGCCATCTCACCACCCCACCTTTCCTTCTGAACTTCCTCTCTCTTCTTTGTGATCGCTAATCTCACAACCCTTTTGAAGTTTGAGGGCCATTATTCCTTCAATGGCTTTACTCATCAATCTATCAAATGAAGACAGCAAACACGGATCAATCATTTCAAGAATACAGCTGTTATGACCCTAGAATCAGCTGGTTCCAGGACTTCTTCTGGCCACTGATACCTTAAAGGTTCCTGAGGTAATAACTACAGTTAGCACAAGAGACAGAACTATGCTCCCTACCACATGAGATTGCTTGTCATCACTCAAGCTGTGTTTCTGTATTGAATCAGCACCGTGGCTCGCGCTATTTTCTCAGGAGCAGCATTTTGTGTCTCTGCCTGGAGACAGACTACTCTTGCAGCAAAGCCCAAGTTAAATGTAAGCTTGTCTGTGAAGCTCCCAGCCGTGTTGCTGAAATCTTTATGGTTTCAGGTCCATGCTTGTTCCTTAGTATCTGTGTCTTTCAACTAAAAGTAATACCACAAGCATCTTACTTTTTTTTTTTTTTTTAGCTGAGCCATCCTGCCACCTGTTGGCAGCTCAGCGGCAACTCAGCTTGGGCCCGGAATCGAACCGGCGACCCTGTTGCTCAGAGCTCGCACTCCTGAGCGAGCTCTTAACCAACTGAGCCACTCTGCCAGCCCTACAAGCATCTTACTTTTTGCTAATGAAATCCTTCAGGAAAGTATGGCAAACTTACATACTAGAGAAATCTTCAAAAGAAAGAAAGGATTGAATACATTTTTAATTCAATTCTTGGCTATTTTTAACAGAAACGATTAAACCGGCGCACGATAGCCATAAATTGCCCAAGGATTGCTGATGCCTTTCATGTGAGAGAGTATGTTCTCTGTTGGGTGTACAACAAAACTAAATGGGGATGGACTAAGGTTCCACTTAGTATCAACATGAAAACTCTTAATAGAAGGCTTGAGTTTATGTGACAACAAAGCATAATCCTAATGAAGTTATTATCCTTTCCTTCTGCATTAGTGAAGAGACAGAAGGCAATAGCCACACCTAAGAGTAGACTCAGGACTGTCTAGAATATTGTTCACTTCAATACTATGAACCTGAAAAGGTAAGAATCCTACAGACCCAATGGGAGTGCAGAGAAAGTGAACCTGAGGATGTAGAAGAAACCAGGTTTAATCCAAGGTACTGCTATTTAAGCCAACCCTAAATTTTCTTTCCTGAAAAGAATATTTAAAAAGGAGACAAGAAAAAAACTCCACACATTCCTGTCTGTATCCTTACTTTATTATTAGGAAAGAAAAGAAGAAAAGCATTTTAGGAATTTTTTCTTTTTTTTTTTAAGGAGGGCACAGCTCATAGTGGTCCATGTGGGGATCGAACCGGCAATCTTTTCGTTACTATCACCACGCTCTAACCAGCTGAGTTAACCGGCCACCCGCTTTAGGAATTTTCTTGCAAGCAGTTTACAGTATGCTCAATGAACATCATGTTAACCTTTTTTGAAAATTTCAATTAGAAACATTCAGAAATTTCCCTTTAATCACAGGTAGCTTATTCACATGGGAAACCAGTTTTATAAAAACTCATTTGCATAAAATATAAATAGTAATCTGAAGAATCAACAGACATAACTAGTGACTTGGAGAATCAACAGAAGCATTCCACAGAGGGGCCTTACCTTCCACAGTGACCTCAATTTCAGGAACTTTGGAATTACTCCCAGGGCTTCGTGGTCTTTTTGGGGACTGCAAGGCTGTAAAGTAAGCACACAATTACTTTTGCATATTGTAAAAACAAACCAAAACAGAAGGGGATGCTTTATAAGAGCAGAGTATTAAAATTCATACAGTTTGGCTCTTTTCAAAGAAACCTGAAGAATTAAACTGGTAGTGTAATCCTCCACATGAGTCTCAACAAAGCTGTGGAAACATGAATGAAGGAGGATTGCAAACATGAAATTTTCAATGAAATGTTTGAGGGAAAAAAAAAAAAGGTCCATTAAGTAAAATATCTTAAAAATATTGGCCAATGATTCAGTATGATTTAGGTAACGTTAGTCAAGAATGTTTAACATACTGACGTATAATAAAGAGTATATATAATTTCTTACCTTTAGTGTTTATTTTACTAGCCATTCCAGGAGGCAAGTAGGAAATAACCAGTTCAGGTCTAGGGAGAAAAACAAGAATCATTACAGTAACCAGTACAATACTGGTCTTCAGAGCAAGTAAAAATGATCATAACCAGTGTTTTTTATAAAGGTGATCACAGCATCATTCTGTAATGCAACAATAATGTCTTTGTTTATGGACAAAAACCAAANGAACTGGGGCCCTCTGGCGTCCCAAGCCAGCTCTTAACCATCGCGCCACTCGGCTGGCCCTGTATGTTTCCCTTTCAACCCTTGAACATAAGCACAACTTTAGGTGCAATTACCTCCACTATGAAGCTTGGCTTTGGATTATCTAGCTGACTCTGACATACTCTGTCTTTGAATTCTTAGTACAACTGAAAAACAATGCTACAGGTAACCAGTAGTTTCCCATTAAATGAAAATGAGTGTTAGTTTCAGTTATCCTTATAAACACCAGGCTCTAACTCTTCTTTTTGGAGGGTCATATCTAATGCTTAAAAAATAAACTTATCTTAACCTGAAGTAAGCCAACAATTAAAAAAAAGAAGCCGGGCCAGCTGAGTGGCACGTTGGTTAGAAGTTGGCTTAGGACACCAGCTCTGAGCAGCAGGGCCGCGGTTCTGATCCCACATATGGGCCAGTGACGCTGCACCCTCTAAAGCTAAGATGGTGAACAACAGCTCGACCTGGAGCTGGGCTGCCCTGAGGGTGAGGCATTGGTGATGGCATAGGCTGCAGTGGGCTGCTGTAAGCTACCGTGAGCGGCCGGCAGCCAGCGTGAGTGGCCGGCAACTGGCATGAGCCACTGTGAGCAGCCGTCCAGTGGCCGGCGACCGATTGCCTCACCCGGGAAGAGCGCAATGATCGTAATACCAACATGGGCCAGTGAAGCAATGTCCTCCACAACTAGACTGAAGAACAAAAGGATAGCAACTTGTCTGTTTCCCTCCCCCAATTCCCGAATAAAATCTTTAAAAAAAAAAAAAAAAGCCAAAGTAAATCCAAGCATATTATGTGTATTAACTAATGTAGTTTTCCCAGGCATTGTTACCATTTCCACTTTACTGATGGAGAAACTGAGTCATGGGGACTATGTAACTTAGTCGTTGGCACTGCTGGTAAGTGGGGAGCTGGAGTACCAACCTTCAGAGTCTGGTTCCTCAGCCTTCACCACTACACTATCTCCCCGACATGCTTGCAGACAAAATTTTCCTGGATCATTTCCTAGATCTAAGTGATGGATGGCAAACACACAGCACATATACGGTCACTCCTATCTTCCATCTTAGCCTGGATATGGACTCCGAATCCATAAGAGTATTACAAGTGTCTCACAAGAACGGGGGATGCAGATGAAATTTATCTGTCATTCCCTAAAAAAAAAGTCAAGATTCAACATTCGAGTCTTTAAGCCTCTCAAAACTCCGGAATAAAAACCACAGCTTCCTTCGTCAGTATAGTGATGAAAGTAAAATGTTTCTGGACCACCTGGCACTAGCAACCTGGTTTACCTGTACATACAATAATCCAGAGGAAATGAGTAAATGAGTACACCCCACTCATCAGAGCTCTATAACAAGCTACTAAAGCCATCCAACTAACATCTCCACTTATACTCCATGCTCTTGAAGCAGCCTCTTAGTAACAACAGGACAGGACTGGAAGAAATTTGTGATCTACTGACAAGAGTTAATTTGACTGAATTATCTAGTTCATATTCTAAATCAATAAACTGGCCTTCTGGTTTATAACTTAAGTGAAATAATACTGTATGCCCCGTAGAACAGCTAAATTAAAAAGAATGACAATACCAAGTGCTGGGAGGATGAATAGCAACTACAATTCCCATCCATTCCTGGCAGGAGT